TATAGACCACATCTCCTGTGTCTTGTCTCTGCTCTGACAGGAAACCAGTTGTGTTCACACCACAGCTTCCTAAGCATGGGCTTCACCTTTAGGGCACAACTGCAAGAGGATGTTCACTGAGCCCCTGGGATAAATAAAGGCAGAGGGTCACAGCATTCTTACCAATCTAGAAATTATCATGTTTCTCACTGAAAAAAAAATCTCACTAATAAGGAAACAGCAATACGATGTATAATTGATCCAGGGAAGGAGTTTACGCATGGCTATTAGCCAGGAAGGTGGAAGGTGATGTGGGCGTTATCAGCCTGTAATAAGGATGCAGTAAGGAGCTGTAATAAGTGCGCAGTAAGGAGGTGATTTCCAGCAGAGGTCTTGCTCTGCACAGCAGAACACATCAGCATCATCTCCTTCCTCCTGTGATGCTGGTCCACCCGGTGACAGGGGTCTGTAAAAAGGACCTCGGTGTTCACAGCTCCAGCTGGACTAAAGGAAGCTTTCCTTGGAGTTCAAAAAAGTGACACAAAGTGGTGAGACACTCATACATTTTCCAATCAGACAGATTCCTCACAGGACCCAGGAGACCAGCAGTGGTTCCACAATTGGCTAAGAGCAAGCATGGGTAGCTGGCAGACTGACTCAACAGCACTCTCCAGTGAGTAGAATACCCACATGCACACCCGCAGACTTGCATGCACACATGCACACCAAGGTGATTCAAAATACCCTAACACCTTTGTGGTATGACCTGGGTATCACCTCCAGCTGGAAACTTTAAGCTTACATACTTCAAATGAATTTCTTGGGGTTATAGATTTCATTTGCTTTAGTTTCCTGAGTTCTTTGTAATTATTGTTACTGCTATCCATTTGAGTTGCATTATGAAAACTATAAGCTTAAAGGGTAGCAAAGTTCAAGGAGACATTGCCAACTTTTAGAATGTTCAAGACTACAGCAAATGGGGCTCTGATTCTGAGAATGCTCTTCATCCTGCAGGTTTGCTTTTTTTTGCATTAGACTCACTCATAGCCTTTCCTCCACCCTCTTCCCTTATGTCACCATGGCAAAGGAAGAACAGATGACACTGTTCTCCAAGCTGTGGTCTGTTACCCACTTCATAGCTTACTGACAAGTGTATGCCAAGTCTCCCCTAGCAAACCCAACCAGGTCAGCCTTCTCGAGCCAACATTCCACAGGGGTGATAGGTGGGTGACAAGCAACCCTAGCACAGCTCATGGTGGTGACATCTCTTAGAGAGAAAGTGACTGTGGGCTAAGGATGTTTCTCCAGCCTCTGACTGGTAGTTCTGATCCTGGCCTAGGCTGCCTGAGGCCACAGAGTCCAGATCTAAGTACTGCTCTGGCCTGTGCTGTGAGTAAGAATCACTTGGAAATGTCTTAGGACAGATCAGAGGATGAATCCAAACAGGGTGTTTGGGGGTAAGTCACCCCTATCCATGGACACACACACACTTTGCCTTGGTGCTTTCTGTGTAGACAGTTCTTTCTGATGTGCTGAATGTTATCTTCCATCCAGAGTATTTAAGAACAGGTGCAGCTGTAGTTTCCCCATGAATAAGGGTTGGTTGTGCCCTCACCCTTTGTCTAGTCAATACACAGGAAAGAACAAAAATGTAAGAGAAACTCTAAATGCAGAGAAAGTGGCTTTACTAGGATGAGCAGACTGTGTTAGTCTGGGGGAGGCCTCTGCATAGATTGGTGAAGCTGGCCCTATGAGCGAGGGCTTTTCCTGCCTTCCCTGCCTTTACAACATCCTACCTATGTTCCTTCTCCCAAGGTGGTGGACAGTAAACCTTGGGCCATCAGGCCCCAAGAACAGCCTCGCCCAGGCCCCATGCTTGGCAGCAAATTCCACTCATCGTCCTCATTGTATTCTAAACCTAAAGAAAACAAGGCATTATGCCCAGCAGCTCACCCATAAAACATTAATCACTATCCCCTCCTTGAGAGTCTTCTGACCAGTGAAGGTATGCCCTACAGGAGCGGTGGAAAATCCCAGTGGACCAGCACAGGCCCAGCCATGCCACAGGCAGTGGCCTGGCACAGGTTTCTCCAGTTCTTTTCCAGCCCAGATCCTCACTTTAGTTCCAAGGACACTGAAGACCAATCTAGGAACCCTGAAGGAGACATAACCAATCCTCAAAGGGTTCCAGAGTCCTCAGGATCCTGTGAAAGGGCTTCCTGAGCCATGTACACTTTTCCATCTGGGCCCTCATGGAACCCGTGTAAGCCTGGAAGTGGACAACAGTGCTGGAGTCTGGGCCAGAGGCACATTCACTGACTCCACTGAAGTCCATCACACTGTGCTTCACCACTTGGTTGACCCTATGGCAGGTGCCTTTAGAGAATCATTCCTGTCAGCACCCCTCCAGTATCCAGAAAAAGGAATCCCCTTGATTTTGGAAGAAAAAAAACAAACATCAAAGGAGAAAATGTAGGCTGAAAGAACCCCAGACTCCTAAATATTCCAAACCCAAGATAGATTGACTCAGTGCTTGAGGTCATACATATATGTGGTATAGAAACCCAATCTCAGCTGATAGGAACACTCGTCACAGGATGCTCCCTGGAAAAGGTCTTGGAAAATCTGATCTGCTCCAGGGTTCCTGGGAGACTTAGAATACCAGGGACAATTGTAGAACCACAGCTTCTTGCTCTTGTGAGTTTAATGGAAAGATAAATGTTCTAGGCTTTAGTGGCTGCTAGATTACATCCTGCTTCCTCATCAGCCAGGCTCAGAGGGATGCAGCTTTCCACACTGGCTGAGCCAGGCCTTTGGATCCCCCCTCAGGGATCTGGCCGGCAGGAGTCTGCTAAAGGAAATGACCTGTGGTTGGTCTCAGCCAGGACCTGGCCAAAGGGGTACAACAGCTCAGGGCACCTCACATGGGCAGCCACCTGAATTCTTAGTGGCCTGGGACAAAGGTTGAATCCTAGAAGCTTTCAGGAAATTTGCTCTCTCTGTCAAATTCTGATGAACAAAGCAGACCAGGACTCCAGTTGCCCAAGGAGGCCCCACACCTCTCCTCTGTGCTGGGTTGGATAGCTCAGGAGCACAGGAGTTGAGATGATTCCAGGGAGATGGGTGCATGGAGCACTGAGTCCATGGACTGGAGGAGGAGTCCAGGCCAGCCTGGCCGAAGAGCTACTGTACACAGGCCCAGTGAGTAACCAAGGCCTGTCTCAAGGCCTGTATCATTAGCCTGCATGGTACAGTACTGCCTTTCCCTTTCTCCTGTACCCTTCTGGGCAAGCAATTTTATCTGGTGTTTTGCTCCCAGAGGGAGGGATAGTCAGGAGGAGGCCTAGTGGCTGGGAAGCAGCCTCAGCCTGATGATGCTAATGTATCTCCAACTGACCCACTTCCAGGAAACTCTGGGGAAAAGGGGACTTCTCCTGATGCCACAGGCTCCCAGGCTGGCCTTTCTCCCACCCTCCTCCACCTCATCACTCTGTAGGAGGGGGCACAGCTACAGTGCAGGCTGACTGCTGTGCCAGCTCAAAGCTAAGCAAATCCCAGCCTTTCAGTCAAGCCGAGTATGTTCAAACGTCAGTTCTGCTGCCTTTGAAAAACCAGGTCATATTTGACCTCTGCCATAAATGGGGACACTGCTACTTTCCAAGCTATAAAGATATGAGAGGATATATGTACTGTTCACAGGGGAGCTCCCCACATATAGTAAATGCTCCAGAAACTCTATTGCCTGGCCTCTTCTCAGGCCCTACCTCTGGGCTAAAGGAGTCTAAAAGTCCTAACTTCTGGAAGCAATATCACAAGAAAGGCTCCATTATGGGATGGAGGTAGAGTGGGGTGGGGATTGCTGGGGCCCAAGTATGGTAGAGAATGCTCCACACGTAGGAGAATAGCACAATGGAAGGAAGTAAGCCCAGAAGTTCCATGATAGAGGCTGGGTCCACCCCACAGATAGACCTGGGTGCACTGAGCTAGCTTTTGCTCCAGCAGCCTTATGGTCTCTGTCTCATTCCTGCCTGCCCATACTGAAGCTGGGCAGTTTCTGTGAGTTGAGATAGCTCAGAGCTGCAGTGTAAACTAGAATAAGAAAGGCTGTTGATACAGCTTTTACAGGATGGCCACAGTTCTCCACCTACCCATATCTTCCCTGTGTCACATCAGCCCAGGGCTCCACAGAGGTGCAGGACATGCATGTCTCTCAGAAGCAGTGCTGGGGTGTCTCCCTACACGCTTCATGGCAACACCTGCCCTTGTGGCCTGGGAAGATTGTTATGGATTGGTGGTTCTTGGAGCCTCCAGATAGTAGGCCCCAGTGAAAGACACAAACCCTTCTGGGCAAGCAATTTTATCAGGTCTTTTGCTCCCAGAGGGAGGGATAGTCAGGAGGAGGCCTAGTGCCTGGGAAGCAGCGCATGGCCTGTTTCTTGTCACCAGACACTCATTCTTTCAATAGAGTTGGCCCTGTGTGCAAGAGGAGTGTCAGAAAGCCAGGTCCAAGTCTCAGTTGATGGAGCACTGAAAAGCCAGTTGATCTCTCATAGGCCTGAGCTCCCTGGGGCAGAGCTTGCAGGCCCCAATACCCAGCCCAGGTGTAAGGTCTCAGGGTGAACTGAGGGAAGTGAGGGGGAGGTCTTTAAGGTCTGTGGCTCCCAGGGACCTGTTCTGAGGGAGGAGGCAGGGATGAACATGGCTGTCAGACTTCAGCCTTGTTTTCTCCATCTCTTGCACCCTCCAGAATCCATGCTGCTTAATATGATCAGGACCTCTGCCACCCTTAGCTGTCCTAAGATCTTCCAAATCACCCCACCAGGTTCTAGAAGCCTCCTTCCTAGGGGCAGGGTACTGTATGCATCTAGGATTCTGTACTATGGCTAGGTGCATCTCGAGGGACCAAGGCTCCTGTCCCCGCCCCACACTAGGTTTTAACAGCAGGACCAACCTCCTCACAGACCTAGAGAATCCTTGTAGGAATGCAGCATCAGAAGAAGAAAAACTATAGCAATCTAGAAGACATTATAAGTCATTTTCCTTTATTTTCTTAATGTATAATACAATTCCAATTCCAAAGAGACATAAATGCTGAGCAGACAGATGTAGGGTCCTGAGACACAGCAGCCAGAACCAGGCAGGGCTGGGTCTGCCCCTCATGCTCCATCACAACTTCCCCCCTCTTGGCCCTTGGCCATTGCCCAGGCACAAACTGAGAAGCAGAATGAAATGAATCTACCTAGTGGTCCAGGGAGGAGCCAGACATGACCTTGGTTGCCAAAATGGCCAAATCATGATCTAGCTGTGGGACCCTGGGCCTCAGTTTCCTTATTTCCTAAATAGGCTGAAATTTCCTGCTAGAGAATGGAGAAGAGAGCGTGCAGATGTGATTTTCTGGTGATACTGGCTCCCATTCTGCCTTGTGCTTCTAAACATCTATGTGATTGTGATTATGTCTCTCAGCTTATGTTGCCTTCATGGCTATGGCACAGCAGTGGAGCTTCTCTGGCCTGGTGGAATCCATCGGACTTGCGGACTCGTAGAGTGGAGTAGAAGACATCAGCCCCCAAGCAGACTCTGCTCTGAATGGCCCCTGGGCTGCAGCAGGAGCTTCATCATCAGGTCAGGGCTGACCTCTACGAGGTCAGTGAGGAAGGAAGGTGATGGCCTGGAGTCACACAGCAAGCCTGTGCAGCTCACTCAGCTGCCCCAGATGGCTCCACCTATGACCTTGAGGGCAAGGGTGGGAATTGTTCTTCCCTGCTCAGGCTCAGCTCCAAGCCTGGAATCCCTTTGAAGGGCATCTGTCACCATAGACTGATAGACATAGGCTTGGGGCCTCAGATAACCCAGGTGCTCTTTATGAAACAGACCCACATACCAGTGTCCTGGGTCTCTACTGGAATAATGTTGAAGTCTATGCTGTGATAAATGGAAAGACCAGCTCAACCTCAGTGAGGGCACAGGAGTGTCCTTCCTTTGCCCTTCAAATAGCCTTCCCTACAACAGTAGCCTCTGTCTAGCAAATCCCCTCCACATACACCACCAACCTTTGGCAGGGAACAGGTACCCTCTACCACCTAAACTATCTGCCCATCTCCACCCCAGAATGCATCTGCAAGAGTATATAGTCACACAGATCTGAGTACAGTTTTGTACTTGGAAAATGCCCCAGCACAATGCATGAAACTGCACTGGTCTAGACCATGCTTTCTGAAACCTGTGGTGCCCTCTGCACAATTCTCCCTGTACCACTTTATAGATGGAGGTCACTCAAGCCCTGAGACAGGAACAATTCCATGTCATGCACAAGTCTGGGCGGGGCATACCCTGGAAGCAAGCCAAACTGAGGGGCAAATCGTATCTGCCACCTGCACCCCTCTAGCTGTCCTCTTTCCTTCAAAAGACTCCTGGGGTCAGTGCCTATCAGGGAAGGGGAGCATTGCCCAAAGGCATTAAAGCAATACAGTAGGACCTTAGGCCCCCGTGGCAGGTGAGTTTGCAACCAGCTTTGGGGTCAAGGGGGGCTTTCTGGCATACCTCCCATCATACTCTGAGGGGATATTAGCAGATGATTCTCTCTCTTTCATTTCTTCAGTGATGAGGGAGGGGTGAATTGGTGAATCTTGGTCCCCAGGAAGCTTTGAGGCCAGGAAACAGAGAAAGAAAGAAAGTGAGAGGAACACCTCCAAAGAGGCCTGACTGTGCAGATTTGGCAGACCTTGGGGAGTGACTTCAGCCAGCTTGGCAAAGTGTCTACAATATGGATTTTAGCCCTCCCCTCCCTCCGCCCTTCCCTGCCCCTGCCCCTGCCCCATGTGGATGCTTAGGCCAAGCCCTTCTATTTGGGCTTCATCTCCACCCTGGAGTTGATGTCATCTGCATCCAGGTCATACTCCTCCACCTGGCCGCTGGTCCACACCTTCATGCGGTCTGTGAGGTCGCTGCTGCGTGGGGCCAGGATGAAGTCATAGATCAGCACTGCCAGGGCTCCTCCAATGAATGGCCCCACCCAGAAGATCTAGGAACAGAGCAGATCTGATCAGAGGGCATGTGGCTGGGACTGAGTCATGCACCCTAAAGCTCCTTCATAGGAATCTCTTCTGAGTTACACTCACCCACCACCCCACTGGAAGTTCTCCCCCACCTGTGTCTGGACAGAGGCGGGCAGGGCTGATCCTCAGGCTGCTGACTCAGTGCCCCCCAGGATGGACCCAGAGGGTGTAGAGGGATGTCTCTTGGCCTCTGTGTGGGCCTGCCCTGCCCTGGAAGGGCCCAGAGATAGTCCAGTCGAACACAGCATTGGCCTGGGACATGCACATCGATGATAATTAGGGCTAAAGCCCAGAGTGCTATGTCTGTGCTTAGCTCAGATTCTTCTTCCTTCTTGGCAGAAAAGAGCTACCATATGCCACCTCACAGTATGAGGAGCCAACAGTGTGAGCGAGCAGGCTGAGCAAAGCCACACTGAATCAGAAAGTGGCAGAGGTGAGATTTCTGTTGTGCCACTAGGGCAGCCCAGGGTTCGATCAGTGGGCAGGTCTGAACTGGAAGGCAGAGGCTGGGTCTAACTCTGTTCCATTGTGGCCCCACTACCCTGTCAGCTCAGGCCTCTGTTTCCTGATTTTCCCTGTCCTGGCAGCCTCCTGTGGGGGAAGGATGCCAGGAGATGATGCTGAACTTGCCCTGTGACCTCGAAGCCCCCGCTTACCCAGTGGTTGGTGAAGTCACGGGTGAGCACCGCGGAGCCAAAGGACCGAGCAGGGTTAATACCACAGCCAGTGTAGTCGATCTGTGATTGGGAAGGAATACAGAGAAAGTGACAGGAGAGAGACAGGTGAGAAAATAGAGGGAACAAGCAGGGAAGGGACAATCTGGGAGGGTCAGACCCGGAAAGAGGAGCTCTGACCCAGGAAGGTAGCCAGAGGTTCCTGTGTCCCTCTTCTGGACAGCAGCACTCCTGCCTCCAGAGACGGCCCACCTTTCCTGCCACAGTGGGCCCCCACTGTTCATGTGGGGCTTCCCTATCTAACCCTGCCCTCCCCAGCCCACCCTACATGGGATGTCCCTCCACTCACCGCCAGCAGGTGTCCCAGGGCCACAGAGAAGCCAATGGCTAGGGGAGCTGAGCCACCGAGGTCACGCCGTCTCCGATCAGTAGTGGCCAGTACACACAGCACCAGCTGCAGGGTGCCAATGATCTCAATGCCCAGGCCCTGGCCTGAGTTCACGCCAGAAGCCAGCTGTAGGGAAGAGAATCAAGGAGGTGTGGTGAGCAGGGAGGGTAGAAACTATGTCTAAGAATCCCAAGCCTTGGCAAATAAATAAAGGTCAGATCTTCATTGCTTCACTGTGTCCAGAGAGAGTCAGGCTCTGCCTGGGCACACACAGCAGGTCATCAGTCCTCTCCCACTAACCTTGAACACAGCCCCTAAAACCTCTCCACTCTGCCCTGATGACTGAGATGGGATGGGGACTCTGAATCAGCTACATCCAGGCTCAGGTAATCTGAAGTCCCCAAGGTCATAGGTGAGGGACAAAGCCCAGGCATGGCAAGAGATGGTCAGGGACATTTACAGAATAGAAAGAAGCAAGTGGGTGGGAGGGCTCAGCGAGGGACATTGCTTCATCACCCAGGTCTAGAACTTTCCACCCCACTGCATGCCCTGCTGCATCTAACATCCCAAAGCTGGGGTGCACCTTCTTCCATTAGCTCTCCATGGTCTCTCCTTTGTGACCATCTCCTGGTCTCCAGCCCACCTCTTCTTCCCCATGCCGGTCCCTCTCTTCCCCTGATCTAGTGTCAGACTCCCATTTCCTTCATCTGTGGCCTCCCTGTGTTTCCTTCAGTCTCCCCTCTGCCCTGGCTCTGGCCCTTTCCTTTCTTTCTTTGGCCACCAGGTCCCGCCACTACAGTCTGGCTGCCACTGCTCCTAGGCCACTTTTAGAAACATGACTCATGGAAAAAGAAGGGAACGAGAGCTGCCGTGAGGTTACAGAGCCCTTGTTCCCCAGCAGCTGCACCAGGAGTACTCTCCTCACAAGACCATGCAACCTGCTCCGTGGGATGGAGGTAGAGCACCCACACAGGGCAACTGGGCCTAGTCACAAAGGCTCACTTGCAAAGGTGCCTGGATCTGTCACCTGTGCTGCCTTCTCCCAGGCAGGGTGGTATCCTAACAAGCCAAAGTCTCCCTTCCCAGATCCCATCCTGAGGGTCCTGGGGTAACTCAAAGGCCACCGGACATTCCGCAAAATCTTAGGTGCAGAGCACACTTCCATTTCTGCAGAGATTTTTCCCAGAGCCTTGCCCAAGACCACCTTATAAGAACAATTCTCTTCCAGCTTTTGTCTGCCTTGCTGGTTTACAAGGAATGACTCACATCCCCTCCCCTGCCTTGCAGTCCCAGCTCTGAGTCTTTCCTGGCGTATCCCAATGCTGAGTCCCCTCTGGCCCTATCAGCCCTCTGGACAATGCCTAGCTGTCTTCCTGCTGCAAGGTCAGGCAGTGTGTGCCTCATGTTCAGATCCTGAATCTTCTACTTGCTGGCACGATAAGCACAGCCTAACTCTCTCTAGTCCTCCATTTCTCCATCTGCAAAACAGGTTTAACGGTCCCTGGCCATTCTCTAAGACCAGGAGAAGGTCCTAAGAGGGGCTGTCTTGGGACATTTAGAAAGGGCTGCTGAGGAAATAGAGATTGTGATTCTGATTTTGTTTTTTTTCTCGTTATCTCCATAGGATATGAGGACAAGCTAAGAGGAAGGGCCCAATCGACACAAGTATGCCGGCATAAGTGAGGGTCCCTAGAGCTGCTGTCAAGGGCCCAGTGAGAACCAGGACGAGGGCTGGAGGGGAGGCCATGAAGGCTGAGAGCCCCAGTGAAGCTCAATTCTTCTCCTGCCCATTGCTCTGCTCTCTCGGGTCAGCCTCATCGCTAGCTGATGGGAATCCTGAAATCATCCCTTCCTGGTGATCCTCGTGGATCCATGGCTGTAAGTAGCTCATGCTTGGACACCCCATTCCCCCAATTCCCCTGCTCACTATCTCCCAGATGTGGCTCATCCTTTCTGGTTCTTAATCAAGGCTGATAGTCCCAATCCCTACCCAAAGGCACCATTTCCCATGCAAATGGAGCAGAGGAGGTCATTGTGCCAACCCGTGTTCTGAGTCCTTGGGAAGGGGGAGGGGAGACACCTGGCCTGGGAACTCCAGGAGGTACCCCTTTCCTAATAACCAGGAACCTCAGGAATGGCAACATGCCTCACCCCCTTGCACACTGCCACCGTGATGAGCACCTTCTGATTTGCATCAACATTCATTGGTGGCCTTTCTTCTACCATTTAATCCACTTGTGTTACTTACATGGAGGAAAATATAATTAAGAATTAGAAGGCAGAGTTAAAGGTCCATTAAAATCTGATGTCCAGGAAAGAACAGGTTAAAAAAAAACCCAAACTTGGACTGTTATACAATCCATTAAACTTGAAACAATTGCTTCAGTAGGGCCAACCTCAGATATGGTTAGTTGCTAGAGGAAAAAGTATGTTTGTACATTACCATATAGTTTTTTCTGGCCCCGGGCTTATGTTGTATTGGTTACATTAAAAATAATAAAATCAATGTTTTGATTGCAAGTGTGGACAAGGGAACAATCCACACAATTCTTCTGAAGCATCGCAACATTATAACTTCTTTATCTGAACACAAAACCCATGTAAGCTCATTGCTCAGGGCCCAGGCAAACCTATCAGCTCCAGGAAGACGCCCAGGGTCCCTGGATGTGATTAACTTCTACCCTGTTCTGCCACACCCTCACTGAACTCTTCACCTCCCAGAGAGGATAACCTTACCCTCCTCCCAAGTGGGCACCTTACCTGTTTTCAGCCTGGGAGCCCCATAACTCCCTGTCCAAGCCTTGGGGGAAAGGCTCACTGTGAGCTAACAGAAGAGCAGAGAAGGTAATGTACTTGAGCTCCCACCCTCTCTCAAAGCAGCCTGGCTCCAGGGGAGCACTCTGGATACAGCAGTCTAGTCAGGAGACAACAGGTCATTTGTCAAGCTCTGGGCTTTATAGGGTCTTCTGTGCCAAGACTCTGAGAAGCCAAAGAGGAGGCTGAGCTCCAGGGAGGAGGCAGCAAAGCCTGAATTCTTGCCCTGGGGTATGTGCCACCTCATTCTCATGGGCCAGTATGCTGACTACCAAGGGCTCTGGCTGTTCCTAGCTTGGACTGGGAAGTTGGCAAAAGATAGCTCTATGGCTGCCAGCATGTCCCAAGCTCCAGGACTGACTTCTTCAGCCAATGAAATTTGAACCCTTCCTGCCCCCTGAAAATAAACCAACAGAATAGCTTCTGAGTCCAGGACCATCAACTTGGTCTGAACATTCTGGCACACCACACCTGGAGAGCAGTAGACTCCAGAGCCTGGCATGGCTGAGGCCTGACCATCTGTTCTCAAGGACCAGAGGACAAGGAACATCAATCAATGTCTGCTCTCCCCACACCAGTGCCTTCAGGACTCAAACTGGGCAGTAGAGTGAAACTTGCAGGCCCTACCTCTGCAAATGTGCACACATGGTGGTTTCCATGATTTATATGTGCCCCTGTGTAGCTTTGTGTGTCTGTCTGTTATCTATGAGTGACAATATATGTGTGTCCAGGGATGGGCCCTGGGGTGACTCACTCCTTTGTTAGATTTTAAGAGATTTATTATGCAATAATTAAGTGAAAAATTCTATCAAAGAACTATAAAAATCTTCAACTTGTGTGCACCAATAAACATAGCCAAAAACAAATGCTATAAAAGTAGAATTACAAGGAGGATTGGATCAATCAACCCCAATTGAAAGATTTTAACGGCCCTCTCTTAGAAATTGATAGAATGAAACAGTCAACAAAAATGCTAATAACATGAATGGAAAGAACAGAGCACAAAACTAACAAGCTTGATTTCAGTAAAACATTACACATACTGACCCCAAAATTAAAGAATAGTAAAGAACAGACACTCTTCTTAAGCCCACATGGGCCATTTAGACAAATTGATCAGGTGCTGGCCAGACACCGGGAACCCTCCCTGTGCTCTCTATGGCCGGGATCTTGGACAGGATCGTTGAGCTGTGTGTTTGCACTGGCATATTTGATGACATTGCTGAGTGTGTTGCTAATGTTACACACTCACATGGATTCCGCTGTTGGCTAGAGAAGGGAGGGGAGCAGGGAAGGGAAGAAACCCCAGGAGGGAGAAAGCACCCTTTATTTGCTCTCAGAAGCCATTTTATCTTCCTGACAAGGAACAATACACAAAGCAATGGTCTCCCCTTTCCCACTCTCCTTTATTTTCCTTACTTCATGGCAGGGAAAAGAAAAGGTTTCATTGAGGCACCCCCACCCTGGATCCTAGGGCATGAGAGGGCCCTTGAGAATTACTACATGTTGCCACCGTTTGTACCACATACACACACATGCTTGAGTGTGTACACGTTAGCACAGCATGAATGTGTGCTCTTTGGAGCAGAAAAATCATGAAGTGGGAGGCAGGAGGTTGAGGACATGGTCTTGCCCTGCCATAACTCACTGTACACTCTTACAAGTCTCTTGGAGGCTCTGTTTCCCCACTACAATGGAGGCTGTGGCCCAAGGTCCTGCCACAGAGTTTCCAGCATTCCTTCTTGCCTGGCATCAGGCAGACCAAGACCCAGAAGCAGGAGCACAGAATCTTCCTGCATCCACCCCAGCTGCCAAAACTGATGTCACAGGACTTCCAACCACTTCATCACACCTCTCCTCAGCTAGGTACCCAAAAAGGCTTCTATGCCTGGTAGTTCACTTTTCACGACCTTAGTGACAGGGGAGCTTATCAACTTAGAACTATAGCTTTCCAATTAAAAGGTGAAATTCTTTGTATAAAACAGAATCTGCTCCTGACAGGACACTGACTGCATTTCAGAACCAGAGAGGAACTGCTAATAGTGGTGAGGGCCTTTCCAGTCTTCCCTGCCCTGTTTTAGCTTCAGCCTCAGGCTGTGCTAGTCCAATGGGAAGCTCCTTAGATGAGTAAAGACAGCTCCTCACTTAACTCTGTGTAGATCAGGAGCACATTTAGTCCCCAGGAAGAGGCCCTGACTGAGGAAACTCTGGCATACCTAAACCCTCTAGAATAACACCTGACTGCACAGCTGTGTGGTTCCAAGCCTCGCCACAAATGAGACCACAGATCCACTTGGGGCTTCCAAAGAGTAGGCCCAGGGCCTGCAGGAAGCTTCTATCAGCTAGAAATGCAGGCTCCTTTGCCGCCAGGAAAAGTTCACTGGGCAGCAATAGGGGATGTGTGACCGTCTGACAAAGGGCTGGTGGGCTACCAGTACCTGCTGAGTGGGGCATGGGCCGGGATGGCTGCAAGGAATGGGCTTGTCATGAGTGAGGAGACCACCACATGCTGCTGGAGTGCGCCTGGCTGAGAGCAGAAAGCCAAGGTGAGAAGGGCGTGGGGGTCACCCAGTGAGCCATGTGTCCTCTCACAACCCTGCCCTTGCAGATGTGGGCTCCAGGGAGGAGGCCAACCATCGGGATGGCCAATACTGGCACTGACTGGGCTGTTCAGAGGGCTCCAGTGGGGGAGGCCACTCAGAACTTTCCATGGTGAGGGAAGTCTCCACCACAAAGCTGCTGCCATCCCCTTCATCTGTTCTGGCTGAAAACAGTAATTATATGTCCCAGCTACGATACCACCACCCGGCCCCCCGCCTTCTCCCCAGGCAGGTCTGCCTGAACAGGGTCATCGGAAACTCTGGTTTTCCTTTCACCAGTCCACCCCTAAGCCCTGGAGGAGGTGGCAGGGGCCTCCCTCCTGGACAACTGGTGACATAGAAAGCCTTCTGGCCCTCTAGCTGAGAAAACTGAGGCCCAGAAAATGGAAATGGGGAGCATTTGCGACCAAGGCCAGGCTGTTGGTGTAACATGTGAGAGCATTTTCCAAGTACTTAGGCCTTTGAATGAGTGAAGACAGCTCCTCACTTAACCCACTTGGCACTAGCAGGACTGAGAGGAATCCCATTACTGGTAGGTTTTCTCTCTCAGCAGCTCCAGGATAGCACTGAGAATGCAGTGCCTTCCAGTTGCAAACACTGGCCTGCCCAGAGGGCTGGCCTCCCACCATGAGCCTCTGTCTAATAGATCCAATGACCTCTATCCTCAGCTTCTCCTGCATTCTCACCTGAGCACACACAAGTACTCTTCTCAGCAGCCCCTTTCCTCTCAAGAGGTCTCCACATTTGAATTCGTGCAGCATCTCCTGCCAGAAATCCACCTGGCTCTCCTACCCTTCCAGTTCAGGAGTTCTCAGGCCAGCTCAAAAGCTTCTTATCATACCTGCCTCTTGCCTCATATCACAGCCAGCTGTATACAGGGCTTATCTTATCCCAGGCCTGTGTGCATCCCAGGGCAAGGAGCCCAGCTGACCCAGCCCTACACTGAGCACCAAGCAGCCTCCTTTGGGTCTGAAGGGAGCTGACCAGGGAAGGGAAGAATGAAAACAGCCAGAGAATGCTAGGTTTCACAGGGCCCCAGGATCTTCCACTTTCTGAGCCAGCCACACCTTCTGTGTCCTGCTCACAGGTGAGAACCTGGGCCATGTCAGTTGGGTTAGTTCTGTGGAGTCAGATGGAATGCCAGTGGCTGAGCCAGGACAGGGAGAGGCTAAGGTGGCCACCCCAGGCTCAGTCTCTCACTCTTGGCTAAAAGCAGGGTTTGGCTCTTAGAACTAGCTGTGACTCTGTGGGACACACAAAGGCCTGTGGTCTCTGTAGGGTGTATCCTGGATCTTGACTCAGTGAGGAGAAAGTTGTCCCTACCATGTCCCCAGAGGACAATTCCTGATTCACCCAACCACTTCCTGCCACTTTTTCCCCGTTTTCTTTGGAAATCTCCATGCCAATGACTTACCCCACCCAGATTTTGGGGAAGGTGGGGCCGGAGAACTAAGGAGCTATGGGAGCTCCCCTCAAAGCATGAAGGAAAGACTGTCTGTCACCTGCAGTGTGGACTGTGCTCTGTCCCTCTGGAGTCATCAAGGCCACTCCCAGGTGCCTCCAAGTCCAGAGCCCTTTGGCGGGGACAGGGAAGACACCTCTGTTTCTAAGCCCATACCTGTGTTCCTGAACCCCAAATGTCCATTATCTTAATGGAGCAGTGCCAGAGCCCCACCAGCCTTTGGAAAAAGGAAGCTAGAAAAAAGATGGAGAACCGAAGCAGGGTGTGGCAGAAGGGCAGATGGTGCAGAAGGTACTGCTTCTCTATCTCTGTCTTGGATGCCCACACAAGAGAGTGCAAAGCCTTTGCCAGCAGGTGCACAGGTCCAACTTGTCCCTTGACTTTGGAGGAAAAAGAAGGAGCAAGAAGGCCTGGAAGCCTCAACACCTCCCCCAGGGGAAGCCTTCCCCACTTCCTTCCTACTCAGCCTAGCCTCAGTGTGAACTTGGCCCTCCCCACAGGAATTCCCTGAGGTCAGCTGGCTCTGCTCATGCTGAAGAGACTGAGGCCTGGGGGGAAATGACCAGTCCAAGCTCTGTCCTTCTGTCTGTCATAGTCACATCTTTCCCGGCTAAAGTCTAAACTCCAGCCACAGAGCTAATCTTCAATCTTGGGCTGAGCAGAGGTTGACTGAAAAGAGGTTCTGGGAATGTGTCACCGTGACAGAAGAAGTGCTAATCCCCTGTAGCAGGGTCCTGACAGCTGCCCTCTGCACCGGAGTTTTATCTAGCCTCCTGGCTTCCATCAGCAGGACTGAACTTTGGCTGGAGCATGACAACTGTAATCGCCCATTGCCATCTCAGAGAGGCCTCATCAGCCTTCAATGTTCCCACACCCACTAGCCTCACAAAGCCCTCCGGCACGTTTCTCCAGCTCTGTTCCTCACCTCTGCTCTCTGTCTCCTTCCTGGAAAGGGCGCCCTCAGCCCGCTGGCCCAAGAGACGCTCTCATTCCCCTTACTTGGCTACTCAGGCCATTTGCCCCCTGGTGTATCCCAAGGGCATTCAGTGTTTGTACTTGGCTGCGGAGCTGGAAAAGCCTGGGTCTATAACAGCAGGCAGTCACCAGCAAGGGCCACTTAGGTGTGCTAAGCAGCCTAGGAGAAATTATTCTCAGCAGCAACCACCCAGTCACCAACATCTGTTTCCTACTCAAGCCAGGAGCAGTGGGCACATGCTCACATACTCACTCATACACACCCGCCACAGGAGCACAAATGTGCATATATAGTTTACACAAACTCAGAGGCCCACCCCAGCAAGCACGTGCAGACCTACACCTGCACACACACAAACACACGTGCCACACCCCTCTCTGCCCAGGCACCATCAGCCCAGTCCTTGCCTCCTACCTCTCTCTGTCACCCAGAAAAGTGTCTTCACTCCCTTTTCCTTGTCTGACGGCCATTGGGGCAGGAATTGAGGTACGTTTCACTGACTTCCTGAGAGAGTTGATTTGGGACTATGTATGAATATGGGGGGCTGCCTGGAAGCTTAGGAACCCCCTCAAGGGGGTTCTTCTCAGACTCTTGCAGACCCTGCTGTGGTGGAGGTGCCCTGTACCTGCTGCAGCATGGCTGAGTACAGCAGGTAGTTTGCCCAGAGTACAGGGCTGTAGAGAAGGGAGCTGGCTGCCACACAGGGCTGAACAGGGCCAAGAAATTGTAGTCTGGGCATAAGGAACTGCTGGCCCAAAGTTAATGCCCCCGGAGCTTATTCCCCCCAACAGACGCTCTGCAGGAGACATTGGCACGATCACTTTTCTCTGGCTCTGATTCCCAAAGAGCCTGGCAGAAACCAGGCCAGAGCTACTGCATAGCTGAGCTCCAGGTACAATTCTACATGACCTCCAACAATCTCTTGTCTTCTCTCTTCCTCAGTGTCTCCATCTACACAGTGGGCAGAGGGTGGAACTAGTACTCTCTCTGCCCCATCCTAGAGCACCCCCACCAAAGCCGCGAGTACCCTACTCACGTCATTTCGGCCAAGCGTGTTCATGGGCAGGTTGGAGGTGATGCCCGAGAGGATGGCAGTGGCAACGATGGCCCCCACGCACTGGGCGATGATGTACATGACTGCCCGAAGGATGCTGATCTGACAGCTGAGCAGCAGCCCCAGCGTGACAGCCGGGTTGAGGTGCGCGCCACTGATGTGGCCCACACTCTGGGCCATTGTAGCAATGCTCAGCCCAAAGGCCAGTGACACCTTCACGTTGTCCTGCACCGCATTCGCCGTCTGGTTTCCCTTCACCGGGTATTTGAAGCCCAGGGCAGTGCCAATACTGATGAAGACGAAGAGGGTCATAGCCAAGAACTCGGCCACCACGGCCCTCCAGAAGATCTTCTTCTTGAACTCGCTGGCCATACTAGCAGGGGGCTTGGCTTAAGACTGCTCGCTGCCTGGTGCTCAAGTCCCTCTGAGAGCTGAACCACAGCCTGGGTTGGGCCTATTTATAGAGCTGGGGGGGCGGGGGGAGCACAAAGGGAGGAAGGCCTCTCTTTCTCCTGGCCCGCCCCACGGGCCTCCTCTCTGTGATGGATGCAGACTCGGCTCTGCTGTCTGCCTGCCAACTTTTTTTCCTTCCTCCTCTCCCCCTCCCTCCTATCTCCCTCCCTCTCTCCGCCCTCAGCCCTGCCCAGCCCAGGAGGCAGGCAGGAGGCAGCCCTTGCTCTAATAGGCTTTGGGAAATTCCTCCAAGCTGGCCCCACTCAGGGGGCCAAAGAAATCCAGGTGTCCTGCCCAGTGTACAAAGCTCAGCGGGATGCCCAGGCAGAGCCGGGCTCTCCAAAGGGAGAACGTGGGGACTGGCCTTGATGAGTGGACGCTGTCTTCCTTAGAGGTGAGCACCACAATCCTACCTGCCTGAAATTTTCATCCTAGCATGGTGTGACATTATTAGTCCTAAAGTTGGTGGCTCCAGGTATCCAGAGAAGGCCGTCTGGGCCTGACATACCCAGGCAGGACCCAACTGCTACTTGTCACTTCAGGGCTGCCACCCTCTCAACAGCCAGGCATGGGTTGGTGGGGGAAAAAGAGCCTTGGAAGGTGAAGAGAGCTTTGTCTGTGGCTTCCCTCCATATAGTGGTCAAGGGCAGGCCTGAGAGAGGCAGGAGTGTTAGGTAGCCCCAGAATTTAGGAATAGTTTGAAGAGTGATTTAGGACAGCTTCGGGGAGATGGAGACTGTTTAGAACTTTCCTCTCACAGGCGGTTGAGTTGGAGATTCACTTTTAAGAGACAGAAAGAATGACAGCCCAAGCCAGTAAGGACAGACAGAGAGACAGTCTCTCCAAGGGGGATCCTGAGCCTGGACTCAACAGAAGAAAGGTATAATCGGGCCCCTGAGCTTCTGGGATGGAGAAGAGCATGAAAAACAGGAACAGAATTGGAACTAAGTGGAAGGGAGAAGGAAGAGACACCCCCCCCCCACCACGCAGAGGCTGAGACACAGGCAGGGAGAAGACACAAGGAGCCCTGAGAGGAAAGAGAGGAAAGTGGGGTGTAAATGGCTGCCCAATGGGCAGCAGGAAAGCTGACGCCTGCAGACCCCTGCAGTCCAGCCTGTGCCCTGTGCACACCCAGTTAACAAACTGAGCACAAATCTGGACTCTGGGGCCAGGGTGCTGTCAGGAAGCCCAGCCCAGCCCACTTGCCTGTGGTAGGTGAATATGTTGAAAGGTGAGCCAGGCCCAGCAGGGAGCGTGTCTCTCTCTCTCTCTCTGCCACCAGGAAGGGACATCTCCTCCCACCTACCTCCTGTCTACCACCGTTCTAATCCGTTCTAATCCGTAGCACCATTATCACATTTGTCAATGGGAAAGTGAGGCTCAGCAGCGAGGGGAGTGACTTCCCTGAGTCCTGGGGACAGGACAGAGACAAATATGTGAGTTGTGTCCCTCCTCATGTGCAGGGTCCAAGCTGTAGAGAATGACTCCACCTCACGGGCTACCCTCTGCCCAGCCCCTGCCCTGCAAGGCTAGTAAGCCCAAGGAGCAGCACGGTTCATGTTTGCTGGCAGCAGGCAGCCGGCTGGAAGCTGCGCTCATACACAGGCACCAATTGCCCAGAAGACTAGTAGGGAGTGGCCCGAGGCTGTTAGTGCAGAGGCTGGCAGGCCCTGTCTGTTCACACCGCCTGGGAAGCCAGAGGTAACTGGTGCGTTATTAACCCTCTGAAAGAGGGAGCCATCCCAGTGGGTCACCTCCCGGAACTTCCTCTACATCCTTTACTCTGGGCAGCCCTGGCTCAGCACTTATGTCCTGGGAGGCTGCCCTGGCCCTGACACAGCCCTGGTGAGGCATTCTCTGGGACCTCTGACCCATCTCTCTCTGCAGCACTGGAATGCTCTCACCCGGAGATTTCAGAGGGCAGCTCTGTGCCCTCTTCAAGGCAGACTCCTGGGAACAAAGCTGTGGCATCTCTCCAGCTAGGCTCTTCTTCAAGCCACAGGTATCTGGGTTGTCTTCTTTAGTATACTGAGCAGTGTACACACAGTTGCCATCACAGTTTCCTGACTTCTGAGAGCTCACTGCAGTCCCTACCCTCTACTTGGTGCAGGACTAAGATCTGAGGCTGAAGATCCAAAGAGGACTCAAGGAAGGCAGCAAAAGAGAGCAGTCCCCAGGCAGAGACTAGCATGGCTGAGCACTGGAAGAGAGTCAAGAGCATAGTTTTCAGGACCTGCATCCCAGGTGTGATCCAAGGGCCAGGTTCAGATCCACACAGCTGAGGATTAATGGAGTTCTACTGCGCCTGTGCGTGACAGTCCTCATGGACTTACTAAAATATCTAACAGATGTTTGCTTAGCTCAGGTAACTGCTAAACCCTGTTCTTGGTCCTGGGAAGTTGGGCAAGAGTCACACAGACAGCTTCATGTCTTTTCAAAGCCTCCATTCTCCTATGGGTTCTCAGGGTCTCTGTGTGAATGTGAGTGTGTGTGTGTGTGTGTGTGTGTGTGTGTGTGTGTGTGTGTGCCAACAGAGCCCACCTTGCTTTGGAGCAGCCAGGAAGTGGGGGATCCAGGAGTACTAGGTTGGGTAAAGCACTTTTGCCCAGGCAAATTATGCACACATCAGTCAGGATGATAATAGTCTCCTCAGAGTGACACTTACGCCATCCCAGCATCCTGAGTCCCCCTATCCTTTACCAGCCTGGCCTCTGCCCTAATGCCAACATGATAGCTCCCATCCTATGGACAAAGGCGTAAACATCAGGAGGCATCATCAGAACGGCCATCCGGAGGTACAGCCAGAAACACTAGCTCAGATCTCGTTCTGCACCACTCCCGAAGGCTTGCGGGTATTGTGACTTGCCAAGGGAAGGCCAAACTGCGATTGTGAGCTGGGACCACTTAGTCCAGAGCCCGTGTCCCCTGTGAGCAAGGACACCCCTCCCCCAGTCATCCAGCCCCACTCTGTTGGCCCAGAAGAAATCACAAGGGTTGAGGTGACAGACCCCAGAAGATGCCAGGTGTGAGGGACAGCACTGGGTGCACAGGGAAGCGAGGCTACAACCCCTGCAGACCCAGTGGCCCCAGCATCTGCCCCACGGTGGGCCGCTGTGTCCAGCTCAGCACCTCCTCCAGTGTGTCCCACCCTGGCAGGTACTGTCCTTCCGCCCCCTACTGGCTCTGTGTGTCTCCTGTAGACAGTGGTAGAGTCAGGCTAAATAAGGAGTCCTCCACCCCTGGTCCCGAGCCCTGGGAGAGGCTGCAGGCCATTTAAGCAGCAACATTGTTGGCAGCAACAGCATCAGCAAGTGCTTTCCCAGATGTGCCTCATTCCTGACATGCCGGTAAGACCCACGTCCTGTCCCAGAGGTGGCCGTTGCCAGGGTGTCTCAGCCCTGTCTCCACAGGGATCCAGTGGGAGAACTTCAGGTTCTGTCCAGACTGAGATACCAGCTGAGGGTCTGGAGTGTGGGCTGTGTGGACATGCAGGGTGTGGCCCAGCTGTGCCTAGCTACTGTCGGAGTCAGGACAGAGAGGCCAAAAAGAATGGACCCTCCCTTCAGGCCCAAAAGGGATTTCTCACCCCAGGTTGGGCTATGGAAAGTCTTAACTTCATTTCCTCCATAAGGTCCCATGGGAGGATGGGGTTGGTGGTAGGAGGAGTCTCAGACAACAGATGATATGACAACCCATCACCAGCAGCTCACCAACAGCTTGGATGCCTTTCCCAGAATCCTCCAGCCTTTCTGTATTGGGGCAGAGAGTGCTGAGAGCAAGTGGAAAGCTGGAAGCCCAGTCCTAGTGGACCTGAAAGAAGAGACAACCTCCTCCTGGAGAATCCAATTGACCCCACATCCCGGGCCCCTGACTCTGTAAACTTCCTGGACAGGCTCCTGCTTCCATCCATCTCCGGACTCTGATCCTGGACCTGGAAGACCTGGCTCTCAATCACCCAGCCAAGCCTTGTCCTCTCAGAAGCCCATGGCCAGAGCAGGGCCTTGGACTCATCTGGGGTCATCTTCCTTGTGAGGGGAAGTCAGGTTTCTCTAGCCCTGGGGAAGAAAAGGAGGCTCAGGTCCAGAGCACCTGGACCTGCAAGGAGCCAAAGGTTCCCCGGGACCACTTGAACTCATCGATCCTCCATCTTCAGGTCCTTCACCCATCACCCAACAAAGCTCTATGCCCACTCCCCCTGTTTCACACTGGGGCCCCTGGTGAGCCATACCTAATGTAGCCGCCCTCCTTTGGAGCCACAGCAGCCCCTCTGAGCCCTTACCTGCCTGGGAGGGCACCCTCCATGGAGGCCACACCTCACCAAGGCAGAGGCTGGGAGAGCTGGGTATAGGGTTGAGTGAGCGTGATGCTCCAGGAAGCATGTGTGCCCCCCCCCAACTCTCATCTTCTCAAGGGATGGGTACCATCTTTCCAAGCCTGTGAGTTTCTCCTGTCTGACAGATACCTCCCGATATTTACGTGTCACTGTCACAAGATCGGTCTTAAATCAAAAAAGGATTTAGCAGCCCACTAGTGATTCATCAGATGGAACGATTTAATAATTTTCTAGACTACTGCTTCCCATTTATGTCTCCTCTCCCTCTCCTCACCCTGGGCCTCACCCCGCCCCTGCCCGCTTAAAGCAATAGCCAGTTTTACTGACTGAGTGGGGCACAGTATAGTACGATACTTCTGTCTAGGAAGTGGGATTTTCTGTTTTAATGTCTTTCCATCAACTCTCTCGCCATAGGCCCTGTCCTGTGATGCCAGAGAGGATGACAAACCACAGGCACAAGATGACAAATTGTTACCACAAGCCTTGCCAGGGGTCTTCGAGGGCTTAATGTACCACATCCAGGGCACTGTAAATAAGGGCACTGGAGGAGACAGGCCTGCCTGCCTCCACCCCACCCGCCCAGGGCTAGCAAAGGTTTTCCACGAAGGAGTGGAGTCACATTTTCCCCAGCCCTGCCCTGTGAGAGGGACGCCCTATGGCTAGGGGAGACAGACATCACTGGCTTGCAGAAACGATGCTGGTGGCATTTGGACTGGTGCCTGACCACACCCTCCCAGAGGCCAGGGCGGGAAGGAGGCTCTCTGCTCCTTGGGGCCCTGAAAGGAAGGGCTGCATGTGTGTGGTTTGGGAGCATTTCCTCAGCCTGGGCTCCTGCTGCCCCCCTGGGCCCACCTCGCTGCAGCTTTCTTCCAGTTCTCTCTTGTCCTGGGCTCTCAAGTCTCCTGTGTCTCCTTGTTGCATTATAAAGCATCAAGTTTGGGAGAAAGGAGCCAGAAAATCTGATGCTGTTTTTCTATGGGGAAACTGAGGCTCAGAGAGAAGTAATATGACCTAGGGGTTTGGGGTGGGTCAGAGCAGAGCCTGACTGGAATCCTAGCTGCCAGCCTGCTCTGCCAGCCACACGTGTCTTCCCCTTTGCTTCTCTGGTGACCAAAGGCCATCTCTTCCTCCGACACTAACAAGACTCAGAAGAGTGCACTCTTCCCTAATCAGGAAACAAGAGCCTGGCCAGCCTACAGCTATTTACAGAAAGGCCCAGGACCTGATGTGCTCCTGTCTCCCCAGGCCACTAACACTACCATCCCGCTGCTGCTGCTGCTCCTTGGCTGTGTCCAGGTATGCACAGGCAGTCCAGCAGCCAGGGACTCCAGGCTCTCTGGCAAAGCGGTCCACCTGCTCCAGCCCCTCTCCTGGAGATAGCCACGCCTCCAGGCCCTGGCAGTGGGCCCCACCTTCTGCCTCTGCCACTTCTCATTGCTTCTTCCTCCACTCCATTCATCCCCCTCTGAGAACCACCACACTGCTGGACGCTGCTCCTGGGCCTCTTAGCCCAGTCATTGCCCCTGGGGACTCCTCTGGGCCCTGCCACACGAACAACTGGGGCTTCTACAGTTTCTGAGGTCTTCAGCATTTCAGCATGCAGAGCTCAGGCAGGGAGGCCTGCATGGAAGAGCCTCTGGCTCCCTGCTGTGTCCCGGCAGGCACCAGAGCTCAGTGACATCCCTCAGCACCTTACTCCCAGCTGTTCTCGCCTCACCACCAGGATTCATATATTCATCTTTAGGCCAGTGTGGTCAAGAAACTTATTTTTTAATATTTTATGGGGAAAGAGGCCCACAGAAATGGTAATGCAGGCCTGATCGTCACTACCACAGACTGCCAGGGACATGGGGTCCATTTTAAAGAGCTCCCAGGGGCATTGGTGTCTCTGACCCTCTTTTCCTTCAGGAAGAGTCCTCAGGCCTTCTGCTTGCATTAAGAGTCAGACACTGGAGTCATGAATTGCAGTGCATGCCTCATCTCTTCTTCCCCTGACTGCACTTGAGCCGTGGAAACACACAAAGAGGACACAGGATTTCACATGTGTGTGCGTATGTATGGGACCACACATGTGCAAACATTCATGCATCCATAAAACTGACATGTGTGTACATTATGTGTGTACACATGCAAGTGCATGTTGTATATGTAAGCACATTCACACGCTCACTTCTGTACACACATGCTGTACCCTCATCTCCTCCCACTTGGAAATCCTCTGCTATGTACACTGTGGCCTCTGCTGCCCGTTCCCTGGTCCCTGGGACTTCTGCTCTGCCTCCTTAGCCCTCCATTGTCAGATGTACCCCTTACAGTCTGGAGACCTGCCTCACCTCACCTCCTTACTTCAGAGCAGGACATCCTTAGGATACAGTGGAGGGGAGGAGCTATGAGCAAGAGGAATGCAGCAGTGGCACTCCTGAGGCCACATGGCTTCACGATCCCTTTCTCGGGGACACTCTATTTAGCTATTTGTGTGCTAGTTTCTCTTCTCTCCAAATAGTGCCCCACACCATGGGTGATGTGTGGGTAGGTTCTGGCCCAGTGCAGAGCAGATTCAGGGTGCAGGCAGCTTAGAAGATTGACTAAAGCCAAAGGGAAGCAGCCATGTGGCAGCCCACCAGGAAACAAGTTTTGGGGTGTCAGTCCCTATGTTGAACCTACGGTGAACCTATGTTGTCCCCATGATGAACCTTGTTCACCATACTCTGAGCAAGGCAGATAATGAGAAGACATGCTGGGCCCTCCCCCATTCACCAAGAGACCTCTCTCTTAGTGTCTATCTGGGGATTCTATTCATGTGAAGCCAACATTCCTGGAGCCTACAAGGCCAGCAAAATCATCACACACACACAGGCAGATTGCTGTCTTGCCTAATGACAAAATGATAAGGTGACCCCAGCTAGGCCCTGAATCGCCAGTCCTTAACACCAGTACCCTCACTCCAGCATGCACACCTCCTGCTTTGTGATATCATTCTACAGCTCTGCTCACAGGTCCCTGAAGTCACCTCCCAGGGACTCCTGATGATGCCCTCTAAGGTCTTCCTATCATCTGTATTTTGGGCCTCTGAATTACCAGGGTATTAGAACATTAGAACAGAAGGGTCTTCAGATCATTAAGACCCCACTTCACCAAGGTAAATTAGGCTACCAGCTAACGTGACTTCCCTAGCCTTGTAATCAAGGAATGTGTCTCAATTTCTTAACCTTCCCTCACCATACCTAGCAAAGTAGCACCCAGCAGGGCACAGGGAATCCCAGGACTTTCCGCATGTGCCAGAAAAGGCTTGCTACCTTCCCCTCCCTGCACACCCTCCTCTAGGTTGGCATTACTGGGCTTACCCAGGGTAACAGAATGGGAGTCACAGGGTCTGGGAGTCAGGAAGCCCAGGTACCCCGTGAAGCAGGCCCATGAAGGAGAAAACTATGACACCAGTAGTAGCCTGGGCCAGGTGATGGGTCTTCTCCAGATCCAAGAACAGGAAGCTCTGGGCATGGACAAGTTTAGAGGCAGTGAGGAGAAAGGAACCCACCAGGCAGGACCACATACCTGCCTTGTTCCAGCCAGCCCATCCTATGAGTCTGAGGATGGAAGAGGAACCCAACCCCTAGTCCTGAGGTGATAGGGCCCCAAATCACAAATATAAAGCAGAGAGAAAAGCCCAGGGACAAGGCTATTAGCTGGCTGGGAGAGGCTGGTGGATAAAGGCAAAAGTCACAGAGGTTTTCCTGAGGGGGAAGGGTTCAGATCATGGAATCTTGGGACCTGAAAGGTTACCTAAAATCATACACTGTCCTACCCAGGAATCCCCTAGCTCAATGCCTATGATTAGCCACTAATACGCTGCTTTGGTGCATCCCGTAATGGAGACATCCTTGCTTTCTCAAGCAGCCTTTCCTATCCCATCCCCACACAGGGCAGGGCCAAGGGTTCAAGCCACTCCTTGTACATTGCTTCCCAGTAACATTCCCACTTTTCCCAGTGCTGCCCTCTGGGCCACTACGCTCTGCATCCTCCACTCAGTGACAGCATGTCTTAAGGCCACAGCTTCTCAGGGTGACTAGCCCAGGTCTCCAGGGCCCTCCTGCTCCAGCCTTATTCTGGTTGGCAATATAGGGCCTGCACCTAGACATGGTCACACCATGATTGTCCCTTCTACTAGGGAGAGCTCAGTGCTATAAGAAGGTGCTGAGTCCTCCAGGGCAGATTGGGGTTTAGAGATGCCTAACATCTGCCTTGGCCCTGCAGAAAGCACACAGAGGATTGAAAGTTCCACATCCGTCAGGAACCTGACCTTCCAGAGAGCAGAATTGAAGGAGGTTTTGGAGGGTAGGTGCAGTCTGGGAAGTCAAAGGAGGGAAGAGAAACATATCCTAGGTCTCACTGCATGTAACACTCACATCTGTTCCAAAAGCACCTAAGGGTGCCCCCAGTGCTTCTCAGACTTTCACAGGCACATAAGCCAGGAAAGGCCTGCTGAAGACCTTGTTAAGATGTGATGTCCTATTCATTTGGTCTGCGTAAAGCCTAAGAGTTCTGCATTTCCAGAATGCTCTCACATGCCAGTGCTGCTGGTCCAGGTCCATGGTCTGAGAAGGAAGGGGCAGGAAAGAGATAGTCATAGTCCAGTAAAAATAAAACCGAGAACAGAAAGGAAGCTGCTTGTGGTACGTAAGAGATTACAACTTAGCATCACTTTCCATCTGAACTTCCTGACAGCGATGATAAGATGGGAAAGAAGTATTCACCAACTCTCACCCCAAGAAAACATAGGCAGCTGCTTATCATTAGAGTCAAGTTATTCCTAATTCTGACTGCCCAGGAGACAGATCAAGTAGATCTTAATATCAGGAGAGTTAGAAAGCAGGTTGTGTTTTAGAAACACAGCAGAGCTTTCTATGGGAGGATCTGACTCATTACCTTCATAGGTGAAGTCCTGATGCAGAGTCATGTTTAGACAACACAGGTACCCCTAGTGCCCAGCCTGGGCCAGTATCTGGTCAGTGCCCATCATTGGTCTGCCATGTATTGGCTGGGTCTGGAGACCCTGCTAGGAGCCGGAAGCTTACCGCTGTGATGCTCCATCATGCAGCCTGGGGGCTTGAGGGGAGAGCAGGTCAGACCCAGGCCTATTCTGCAGGAAGAGGTGTGGTGGATCTGTGGATATCAGAAGAGACCTGCCCCTTCTCAGTAAGCAGGAAAGGCTTCTTGGAAGAGGGAACTGCAGACAGA